TTCTTAAAAAACTAGACACAAACAAAACACTTGAAATAACTGAAATGAAATTGGTGCAGTTAAATTAAACTGGAATTAAATTCTCACAGCATGAATTTGAGCTCTGGCAGCTGCTTCATACACCTAAGGTAAATAAAGCCTGAGTCTTTACTTGTACAGAACAATTTCTCCAATCAACATTTCCATCCACGTTTAACAGTCTCCCCAATCCACATACGCATCCATCTCACAATTAACATTCACAGTAATTCAGATGGAAACTAGAGTTAATCTCAATTATCCTGGGTGACACTAAAATTAAAAAAATCAATCAACAATTTAAGTGTCAGCCCCAGATTACCCAAGTTAAGCTGTTTTTTAAAAATATTATATTAGAGTATTTCTCCAACATATTATCTATCAATTATCCCAGGGAAACATCTGTGGCAAGAAAAAACCAACAAATTGCTCCCTAGAAATTTCAGCATGATCTTCACAAACTTTGACCAAAATCTTACCATCCCAACATTGTGCAACAAATGTTCAAAACAAAGGAATGAATAATAATCTATTATTTAAAACAAAGAATATCTGAGCATGTTCAGTAAGGACAAAGATTTAAAGAAGACAAAACAACAAGTGTACGATCACAGTCAGTTACATTAAACCTGCAGGGACATGACAGCTAATCACCAGCCTGCTCATCCTGGTGATGAGACAGTACAAGAACAGTCCATAAAGGTCTTCAAGGCGGGTCAAGGATAAGTAGGCAAGCAAATTTCACAACTCAGGGGATGCTACTGGTATACAGCGGCAGACTCCAGGGATGCTGCTAAACATCTCACAATGCACAAAAGAATCCACTCTCTCCATCCAAAAAAGAATTATCTGGACCAAAATATCAAACATGGTGAGGGTGACAAACCCTGGGCTAACCTTACCTGGACTTCTGACGCTGTTACACAAGTTGAGGGTGAGGTCATCCAGGATCCTGGAGAGGGACGCAAAATCTGCCAGTTGCATGTGTGGGGATCATCGGGGTCTGCTGCAGTCATCTTTTAACTTAGCTTCACCAGCATTTTTAATACCTTGGGAAAATGGATGCATACAAATCAAAAAACAAGTCTCAGAAAAAAATCAATGGAATAAAGCCAACATTTCACGGGCTACCCCTATGTATTCAGTATTAACTAGAACGTAGATATGATGTTCCTCAATAATCAGATGACTACATATCTTTAGTTATAAAATAGACACAAAAAATAATATTAACCAAAGTCTATTTTGTTTAGATTCTCCTAAATGCTCCTAGCACCAATTCCCCACCAAAAAGTGTCTCTTCAAAGTTTTTTCTGTAAATTAAAAATAACAGACATCAAAAATAATCACAGTGCTGTGGAAAGTCAAACAGAAACTTTCCTGAATCCTATCTGTCCTCTTGACCCATTACTCTCTTCCAAGAAGCCAGAGTTTCAGGTCATTACAAGGAGAAAAGAAGAAAACGAATTAATGTCCTGGCACAGCATTTTGATAAATTATGTAATAGGGAAAATGTGTTTGCTTGTCTGTCCATGCTTCAGAAAATGTTATTAACTTCAAAACTATCCTCAGCACACTTCTACGCCCGGGGGCACAGCCAGTCTCTTCAGTGCTTACCAACAGCAAACGGCTCCACACCTTCATCCTTGAGTTGCTTTGATGGGGTCTCAACGTCATCAGTGATGAGAACATCAATTTTTCGAGCTTGACGCCTCATGCCAGCTTGGGTCTTGAAGCTCTGTTGGTGAATGAAGTTCAAAGCCATGTCTAGCGGGATTTTTAAAAGAGAAGCCATCACATAGTTATTCAGCCACAAGCTTTGACCACAAGCAAGAGCTCCAAGCGCACCAGACACTTTGATTCACCTGTGAGGGCCCTGCCTCCTTTGTGAGGTAAGTTTGCCACAGCCTGCAGCAAGCTCTTCTTGTCTCTCTGAGCATTTAAGTGCCCTATAATAGTAAGGTGAATTCAAAATATCTAAGGGATATACACAGGAATCATTACAAACAAAACAGTTCAAAATACGTATTTATAAAAAGGGTTAAGTCAGAAAGCATATACTTTCATAACCAATGAAAATTATCATAACACAGTGTTACCCAAGTGGAAATATAAAGGGTACACAGTTCAGAAGATTAGGTTAGCATGAGAACATTAATATGTAGAATCATTTTAGCAGGAAGTAGATAGGTAAAAATCATGTGCTATTTAGGCATCCTATCTAAACATTATAATGTAATTCATTACAGAATCAGTTTCAGACATTTACAAAGGAAGCAGATGCATTAATTGCCCTTTAAAACATTGCACACTTTCCCCCCTAAATTATCAGTTTGTACCTGTCGTGCCTGATACTTGCCTAAGCTTCCCCTCTTCTCTCTTGTAATCTGCGAGAACTGTGATGTCGTATGTGGTCTGGGGCTGAAGCCGCTTTAACACTGTGGAGGTGACTGTGGGTGGCACTTTGGCCCACCAGCTGTCTCCTGCCCCCATGGGGCTGATAGACAACACTGTAGCTGATGACTTTCCCAGGTGCTGGTTTCCAGGTGACTCTTGTGTTTTGTTTCTTCAGCCACTTTCAAGGTTTTCAAATCTTCCAACACTGAGAGATAAAAGGAAGACGACAGTGTCACACCAGGTGAAAGAAAATGTTTATGCCCGCCTCCCTCATTTATGTGAAAAGACACTATCTAGTTTCCTAAGTGTACACACTATTCTGTTACTTAGCGTCGTGATCGCTCATAAGTTCAGGATGGCGTGTGAGCCTAATCTCAGTGAGATCACAGTAAGTTCTCTTTATCTGGCTGGTAACTAAAAAATGGAAGTAAACATTGCAAGGATTTCCTACTATTTGCATTCCAGAGACTTTAGTAAAGAAAACACCCATTTCTGGATATAAACTTCAGAGTTTTTATTATATTTCTATTTGTAAAGAATTCCGATAGCAAACATATTGTGGGGAATACTAAAAATTATGAATACAGGGTCAGAAATATTACTTGAGTCTTTTCAGAAAAAGGTACAATGAATAAGTGACTAGTCAGAGTGTCTATAGTTCACTCTATCCTTTGTGATTGCCATCAACATGTAAGGCTATCAGCAGAGAGGAACAGGAAACTCTGACACAGAAAAATATCTCAAGGGCTCTGGAGATGAACTGGGATACAATGAGTGGCTTTATGAAGCACTATATGTAAAAAATGTTTAATATACAAACATACCATTTATTAAGTTATCTTTCAATAACTATCAGAAACAGGTGGCCAAATACACAAATAGCCAAACATCCCTTTTCCACACATAATTGGACCTCATAAGCAGGAGCATTTCATTCAGTTCAGTCATCTCAGCATTCGAAGGTCATAAGCATCTTCTATAGGGAGAGACTAAGCTGAAGAAAACACTGGGAAGAACTTGCCTGGATTCTAAAAGAAATTTTCATGCTCAAACAGGCAAGGATCACTTGAAAAAGCTAAAAACATAATCCTGCAAAAAATTTTAAAAATATATATATACATATATATGACCATTTTTCAGACACTGGACATCAGGCAGCACAGGACTAGGACCCTGAGTGATGAGAAACAAATGAGAATGAGCCTGACCACTGCCCTGACTCACTGCTTAAAGCGTGTTCCCAGCCCCAGTACAGGAAGGGGGAACCCAGATAGAGCCTGGTGGTCTCCCTTCATTGAGGAGGTGGTTTTCTGAGTCTCTGGAGTCCAAGGCACCCAGAACACACCGAGCAAAGTCCTGCAGAGGAGATGGCGCTACAGAGAAAAAGTTTCAAAAATCTGCAACCCAGTACTAATCAGGGCACAGGAATGAAGAAACTACCGAAACCAAAGAAAGAACCACCTAAAAGGAGCAGAAGGAACAATTCCTGGAGCTCACGCAGGGCCAGAAACATTCCCTCCCGCCAGAGTACAACACCTCACAGTCCCCTGAACATTGTAAGACGCACTAAGGAGGTTACTCCCCCAGGAGGGGAGCAAAATGAGCCCTGAACTAAAGGTTTCTCTGGTCTAGCGCTAACAGAGTTTAAAAGAAAGCTTCAAAAATATCAAGCTGTCTCCAAAAGACTTAACTGCATCCCAGAACAAAGCTCAAGGATATTGAGAAGAACATAAAAATAGCTGGCACCCAATAAAGTAAAGTTCGTATTGTTTGACTTCTAATAAAAATTACCAGGAATGCAAAGAAAGAAAAAAAATAGCACCCATACTGTGGACTGAATGATTGTGTCTCCCCAATATTCCTGTTAAAGCCTTAATCGCCAATGTGATAGTATTTGGACCTTTGGGGAAGTAATTAGTATTAAATGAGGTCCTAAACGTAAGGCCCTAATCTGATGGAACTGGGATCCTTCTAAGAGGATGAGGAGACATTAGAGCTTGTGTGCTCGCTCTCTCTCTGTCTCTCTCTCTCTGTCTCTGTCTCTCTCCCCACAAGCACAGACTGAGGAAAGGCCACGGGAAACCAAATTCTTCCAGAACTTTAACCTGGACTTCTAGCATCCAGAAGTATGAGAAAATAAATTTCTTGTTTAAGCCACCCAGTCAACATTATTTTATTAGGACCGTTAGAGGTAAGGTACCCATAATAAGCAGAAAAATGAATCAACAGAAACAGAACTAAAAACAAATGTATGGTTACCGGTAGTGGGAAGGAATAAATTGGGACTTCAAGATTTGCAGATACTACTAGACATAAAAGAGATAAAAAGCAAGTTTATACTGTGCAGCAGAGGGAACTATATTCAATGACTTGTAGTGGCCTATAATGAAAGAGAACATGAATATGAATCTATGTGGGTATACAGATGAATGACCTATTCCGCTGCACACCAGACATTAGTGCAACATTGTAAACTGACTATACTTCAAGTTTCTAAAAAGGAACACTCGATGGGGCTTTTTGTGTAGACCTACACCGTTGGAAATGCCTCATAGGGTAACTATGTGGTTTCCTTTCCTCACAGAACTACGTCTTAGATCTGTGGGAAAGAACTACAAGGCAGAGCTGCTAAATAAACTATGAGAAACCTAACAAGCTCTTTCATCTTAGGTGCTGGCATATCCCAACAATCAGTACTGCTCCAGGGTGTGATAAGCTTAGGAGTAAACATGATTTGAACTTAATGCATGTTCAGAGACTGTCTAAAATTCAGAACCAGGCAGATCTATCTTCCCTGACCCCAAATACGTTAATAGTCCTAAAGTAAACTGGTTGAGGAAACTGGATCCCAAAGATTACAGGTGAGGAGTTTTTGAAGTGTGTCCATGTTCCACTGGAGATGAAAGAAGCCCAATTTTTAAAAGAATTATGAACTGACTGACATGACAACTGCTGACTGAGCAAAACTTCTTTTTTAAAGGGCTTTCCTGAAGATTACAACTCAAACATTGGAGGAGCGAAGGTGATGGGGTGATGGGCAGTGGAAGGAATCAGAACATGTGAAATTCTTAAAAAATGTATTGACTTAAGTAATTCTGCCTATGTTACACAATACTTTACACTTAAAGAAAAGAAACTGAACTACAAATAGCATGTATGGCTTTACACTAAAAAATTATTCAAAAGGGACACTAAACAGCTATTATAACCATATTCCATATGTTACTGATAGAAACCAAAGAAAGAACCACCTAAAAGGAGCAGAAGGAAAAATATTAACCATGCTAAGTAAACACATAGAACATATAAGAAAAATTCAAAGCAAACTTCTGGAGGTGAAAAATACAGTATCTAAGATGAAAAATGCACAGGATGGTACTAGCAGCAGATTAGAAACTGCAGGAAAAAATACTGATAAATTTGATGGCATAATAGAAACTACCCAAAAGGAAGTGCAAAGAAAGAAAACTGAGTAACAGCACAACAGTGAGCTGTGTGATAACCCCAAGCAGACTAACACACGTAGAACTCGAGTACCTGGAGAAAGTAGGGGTAATAAATAAAATGTTTGAAGAAATAATGGCCTCAGTGCCATACTGCCCAAGGCAACATACAGATGCAATACAGTCCCCATCAAATTACCGACGACACTCTTCACAGAGCTGGAATAAGAAACGTTAAACTTTGTATGGAAACACAAAAGACCCCAAATAGTCAAAACAATCTTGAAAAAGAAGAACAGAATTGGGGGAATCATGCTCCCTGACTTCAGACTATACTACAAAGCTACAGCAATCAACAGTATGGCACTGGCACAAAAACAGACACATAGATCAATGAAACAGGATAAAAAGTCCAGAAATAAACCCGCCTATTTAGTCAATTAATCTATGACAAAGCAGGCAAGAATATACAATGGAGAAAAGACAGTCTTTTCTATAAGTGGTGCTGGGAAAACTGGACAGCTACCTGTGAAAGACTGAAATTAGAACATTCTCTTCCACCATGTACAAAAATAAACTCAAAATGGATAAAAGACCTCAAAGTAACACCAGATACTGTAAAACTCCTAGAGCAAAAAATAGGCACAACACTCGCAGACATACATTACAGAAAGACATTTTCTGAACCAGCTCCTGGAGTATTGGAAATAAAAGCAAAAACAAACAGATGGGATCTAATTAAGCTTCAAGGCTTTTGCACAACTAAGGACACCATCAACAAAACGAAAAGACAACCTACAAAATGGGAGAAACTCTTTGCAAATGTGACTGAGACTAATTTCCAAACTATACAAATAGCTCATACATCTTAATATCAAAGAAACAAGCAACCCAATCCAAAAATGGGCAGAAGACCTAAACAAGCAATTCTCCAATGAAGACATACAAATAGCCAACAGACACATGAAAAAATGCTCAGCATCGCTAATTCTCAGAGAAATGCAGATCAAAACTACAACGTGATATCACTTTACACCAGCCAGAATAGCCACCATTGAGAAGTCTACAGATGACAGATGCTGCAGAGGGTGTGGAGAAAAGGGAACCCTTCCACACTGTTGGTGGAGTCTAGACTGGTGCAGCCACTATGGAGGACGGTACAGAGGTTCCTTAAAAAAATGAAAATAGACCTACCATGGGATCCAGCAATCCCACTGCTGGACATGTATCTGGAAAAAATAAAATTCAAAAAGACACATGCACCCCAATGCTCACAGCAGCAATATTTACGATAGCCAAGATACGGAAACACTCCAAATGTCCACTGACAGATGACTGGATAAAGAAGATCTGGTACGTATATACAATGGAACACTACTCAGCCACACAAAAAGAAAATAATGCCATCTGCAGCCAGACGGACGGACCTGAAGACTGTCATTCTAAGTGAAGTGGGCC